TTCGTTAGAGGACCCCCTAAGTCGGGTGCAAACCTGATTTGGCTTTGATCTGAACTTTCGTTAATTTATGGTGAATTGTTTTCTCCCCCATAGGAAAGCATGGAGCTGTCAGATTTTGACAGGTCCATTGGTTCCTATGGGCCTAAAAAAAAATTCACCATAAATTAACGAAAAGTCAGATCAAAGCCAAATCAGGTTTGCACACGACTTAGGGGGTCCTCTAACGAATCCAAGCATTTAGAACCGTTTTTGACCCTTCTAAGACACTTTTTAAATTGAAAAAAGAAACATCATTAAGTGAAGCAGGGGACCTAAAATCGCATTCGTTATGCGAAGCATGGTCCCAAACTTCGCTAAGCGAAAATCGCCCATAGGAAACATCGTTATACGGTGCATATTATTTTCTTAAAAACACATCGTTATGCGAATTCATCGCTAAACGAGGCACTCGTTAAGCGAGGCACCACTGTATAGGAATTACATGAAGAGATGATATCACCCCATAAAATTTACAATAAACATTAAGGAAGGACAGAAGTTTGTTAAACTTTATTTTTAAAAGAAACACTTTACAAAAATTGTACTAGACTTTGTGTTGCCCCACAGATCAAAGTTGCAATTTACGTGTATTATGGAGTGATTTTGTGCTTTTTTTTCCAGTACAGTTTATATCATTTGAAATTGATGAGCTATTTAAATGAAATGAATTAGTAATCACCACCACCAGTTTCTAATTCACTTTAAAATAAGTTAAATGATATGGATATTTCCAGTGAAAAGAGAAAAATCGAATCTGAAAATCTGAAAGAGAAAATTTAAATTCTTACCCAGCATTCCTTGCGAATCCCATGTATACTCATACCAAGTTCGAACACGGTTCTGAACAATTCTTGGAATTGTGTTAGTGTTCATATATGAGACAGTGTTGTCCATGCAAGCACGGTAGTAATTCTGTCCTGCTGTGGCTGCTCCAATGACATCTCGCATCTGCAAATATCAACCATTATCATACACAGGCCCTGAACAAACCAGGCAAATGTTCCCTCAGTTTTTCCCTGTTCAGTCTTTGCCTAAATTTCCAATAACATGATGCATTGCCATTACTGAATTTTTTTCCCAGCCAGCAAGGTAACTGGGGAACATTTCCCCCCTCACCGGGAGGGTTGTTTTATTTTGTACATTCTTTACTTCCATGCATTGGTTCTTTTCCCTTTCTCTTCTCCACATCCTTCAAAGCTGCCTCCTCCCTTTCTCTCCTCTTCCTTTTTCTTCTTTCTATTTCTCCCCAATAAGAAGCTTGCATCTCCTAAATTTATGTAGCTTGCTTTTACTTGCTGATTAAATTTGTGGGTCCCCCCCCCATTATATACACCTTTGATCCTCATTCACAAGAATTTTTAAAAACATACTTGGACTGAGTGAGTTGTGGGGTGTTTTAATCACCAGATAAATTCTACTATATATTAAAGGTTAGCAGAAGATTAGGGCTGTGATTAGGGTTAGGCCTAAGAAGAGGTTTAAATGGACACATCTTGTATTTCTTGAACTCACTGTGAATTCCATTGTGACGCAAATGAGGCCAGCCTTCTGAAACCCCAAGTGTGTCATGCCTGCTTCTCAGCATCATGTTTTCTCCCAAAAGAAGCAACACGGGAATTTTTGTTGTCCCGATATGTTACACAGGCTAGGAGAAAAATACACCCCACTTGCAGAATGCAATAAATTTGTTCTGGAAGTTTTTAATCCAATTGTTTTCTATTTGTTAAAAGGGCAGCAACATCTGTATAGAGCTAGTAGCTGGATCTCCAATAGGATGTTGTTTACATCTGTTCACACAATGCCTACAATTAAAAGAATGCCCCTCTTCCTAAAGGGCTAAATCTAACTTTACCGCCTCAGTGGCTCTGGAGCCAGAAATTGGGAGTTCGATTCCTCATGATCCCTCCTTGACAGATGTTGGACTAGATGATCCATAGGATCCCTATAGTTCTAAGATGATGATGGTTAAAAGGGAACCACATGAAATGAATATGAAGGGGCTAACATGGAGCAGAAACTTGTTCGAGCATGTAAATTATAACCATCCCATGGTTGGAATGTGCCATAGCATCTCTAGCTCCCAGTTGCATAAGTAGGAGATTGCCTTGTTGAAGAACAAATATTTCATGTGTATCAATATTCCTTTGTACAAAGACCAGTGTGGGGGCTGGGGGGCTACATGTGCTATAGTTGTTCATGTTATTAAAATGAAAAGGATTTGGGCAATTGAGTTTATCTCAGTATTCCAAACTGTCTTGTAAAACTGAATATCAGCCTTTGAAGTCAACCATAAGATTTTTCTGTTTTGCAATTTAAGATATACACATTTTAAATAAAGCAACAACTGATGGGTATATAGGCCACGTACTTGCCTCTTCTACCCCAAAGGTGTCAATTTCCCTCCTGCTCAACCAATATGGCTAGTAATCTGTTGGCTGGGAATTATATGTTTGTGCCTTAAAATATTAATGTCCATAAACTTATTTCATTATAAGTAATATAATAAATTACAAAGCAAACAAAGCTGCTATTTTTTCTTTACCTGACCAATCAAGCTGGAGAATACAAAAACTCCCGTGAAAAAATTCAGAAGCTGAAAGATGATTTCAAACATGGTCACTGGTTCTGGAAGTCCACCAATAGTAATTAACGTTCGAACTGCCCAATAGTAGCATCTTAGGTACCTGTAGATACGAAACAATTATTGATGCCACTATTTTTCCACAAAGATTTAGAATACAAAACACAACTTTCAGATTTGTAATACTTTTTTAAAAAGTACTTTAGGAAAAGTAGCATCTTAATGTCATTTCTCTACAAATCCAGAACAGTAAGCCATGTAATAAACTGAATACAGTTATTTCTGTAGAAAAGGAGCAAAGCATGACTTGTCGCTGAAGTCTGGAAAGTATGTTTGGGCCTCCAGCAGTCATCGCTTCAGATTTCCTCTCCTGAAATATGTCAGACATATAAAACTGTTCATGAACACATCAAGAGAGATTATTGATCACTCCATTAAATATATCCTTTCTAAAAAGTTCATTCGAGAGACAGCTTACATGGCTCTCGTTCCGAAAGTCAGAAAATGTCAGGTGTTTTGTCTGTCTCTGGTAATGTCAGATCTGTCAGTGAGACGATGCTAGGACACTATCTGTATGGCTGTTATTCAGACAAGAGACCGGCTTGCTTTAAGGCAGACAATCCTTTCAGCATGAACAATCGGGTGGTTCAGCCTGTGTTACAAAGTGAAAAAATAGGTGAACTTGCATTCAGTCCATGTGTGTGAAAGAGAGGAACTGACTAATCTGCCCATGTTTATGTACACTTTGCCTTAATTTGTTTTTTATTAGAATTTACCAACGTGCGCAAAATTCAGCACAATCCAAAAGATTGATGCTAAGACATCACAAAACTTCTGGATAGCTCAGTGTTTTAGGTTATTTGTGCCTCTCGAACAGAGGCCGGACTCAGTGCCCCATAAGGACCCCTCCAGCACTGCGGTCTAAGACAAGAACAACAATGACCATATTGAAGCTTTCACCAGCAGTCATGTTCATCTGTCTCCATGGACATTACTCATCTTTGTTGAGTAGCATTCTTGGAATTGTGTCTGCATCAGCACAACAGAGCAGATGCTTGGATGACAACCCGAGAGCCACTGTTTCCATTTTCATTGGGGTATTTAAAGATATATCACCAATCAGCATCTGCAAGCTGATTATGAATTTTGCATTACAAGGTCTCACCAAGGAAGTTTTTCCCCCACTGCCTGCCACTAAGAAGCATTGCACTTTCTAGTTTTAGTTTGATATATCTATTTCTTCTCTTATGATGGTTTGAGTTATTTTGTGTTTATTTATTGTTCACTTTTAGTTTTTTAACCACCCAGAATAGTGCATTGCACTAATGGGGTGGTATAGAAATAATAAATACTTTAATAAGTACGGTAACTTTTAAAGTGGAGTGGGAACTTGAGCTTGGATCTTGCAGATCACCATCCAATACTCTAACCACCATGCCATGCTGGCTGTCATGTTCCATGTTATCCTGTTGCTGAACTTACAGCAATTTGACTTGGCCTCTTTTCCCCAAGCTGCTCTGAACAGTGTCAGCTGCCATTGGAAGTTCCCTTTGCTTACAGCATGTTTATGTATGTCCTTTGCCATATGTAAGAAATCAGCAGAACATCACCACGTGAAGACTCTTAGGGCATAAAGTGTTCCACTTCAATATCAATGTTGCATTGTGTGCAGCAATTGTACTCTTCTGACCCTTTCAGAGCAACTGTTTTTGTTATGGAAAACTGGCCATTCCCTTTCGGTTGGCAGAATTTAAAGTACAAACGACAACTGTGCAGAGAAAGCATAAGAGAACAGTTGAAGTCTCAGAACCACTCCCCTTCACAGTAACTAGCATTTTATATGTTAAAAATCACTTGGGAAGCATTTTAAATAGAAAAATTAAAAATGTATCTTTACTTACAGCTGTGATCAATAGTTACAAACAGAAGAATCAAAGAGAGGTTGCAGTCTCCACATGTGGGAGAAACTGCCTCCTCAAAAGGGACAAAGAAAGAGAAAGACCAAACAAAAGCAAGCAGGAAGAGGAGGGACAGAAATGCCAGAGGCAGGGAAAAGCACTCTACCAATTGGTTAATGACAAAAAGAGACAGTTGCCTTAGCTTTTGAAAATGCCTTTCCACTAATAAATACCCAACGTTAATTACATGCACCATTGTTATTATCCCAACAGTTAACGTTAATTACATGCACCATTGTTATTATCCCAACAGTTTTCTTATGCATGTAATGTTTCTTTTGCACATACCTAATTGGCAAGCTTAATTTATGACATTTGTGCTTTATAAAGGTTTAATTAAGTTCGTGATTAGAGTTGTCATAAGCTCGTAAAACTCCAAAGGAGTAAACAATCACAGCAACAGCAATGATGGTTAGGTGGTTGCATGAAAGGTAAAGGTAAAGGTTCCCCTTGACAATTTTTGTCCAGTCGTGTTCGACTCTAGGGGGCGGTGCTCATCCCCGTTTCCAAGCCATAGAGCCAGTGTTTGTCCAAAGACAATCTTCCGTGGTCACATGGTCAGTGCGACTACCAATTGGTTAATCACAAAAAGAGACAGTTGCCTTAGCTTTCGAAAATGCCTTTCCACTAATAAATACCCAACGTTAATTACATGCACCATTGTTATTATCCCAACAGTTTTCTTATGCATGTAATGTTTCTTTTGCACATACCTAATTGGCAAGCTTAATTTATGACATTTGTGCTTTATAAAGGTTTAATTAAGTTCGTGATTAGAGTTGTCATAAGCTCGTAAAACTCCAAAGGAGTAAACAATCACAGCAACAGCAATGATGGTTAGGTGGTTGCATGAAAGGTAAAGGTAAAGGCAACCACCCATGAAAGATTTTCTTGCAGTCAAGATAGGGAGGGGGTAGGGTTGACTACACCATATAAAGGGACTTACATGTTTCCTTTGCCATCATAAACCCATTTAGTGCTGCCAAGTCCTTCGTACTCTGAGGCCCAATAATATATGCATGCATTAATGTGCAAGATGAACAACAAGTATCCAGTAGTTCGAATGACTCTGGAAAACAAACAAACAGTAGTTTCTGCCATTCCTATGGAACATAAATTTCTGTGCTTGTTTTCCCTTAGGAGACCTTGAGTTTGATCAATAGCAACACTAGCACTGGCACAACAATGACTAATATTGACAGCGTGAGAAAATCTTCTGTCTTCCCTTTATCCAAAGGCAAAATGAATCGTTTTGTTACAATAACTGGTGCAGAGGCACTCTTGAAGTATGTTTCCCCTAGATACTGAAGCTTGCTAATTCATTTCAGCCAGCCAAGAGTATTTGCAGAACGATGCAAATTCCTTTGTCATTTTTTTGCTTCACAAAGCAGAGGCCATTACATGACACCAGAAATCAGTGCCTTGGGCAAGTATTCCACACATGGGGATTTCCCTGTACACACAAGGTTGTGCTATTTGGCAAGAAATCTTTCTTGTGATTGGCAGTTGTGTAATAGATAACCTGACAAATTGGGTAACCACTCATACAAGTACAACATTAGTTGCTAAAGAGGGAAAACAAAAGAAACACAAGACTTTTGTGTACTCCTCTTTTGTAAGCATGAATTCTTTGTGTTTAAGGGGAGGACTTTCAGCCATCACCAAAAGAACATGAATTACATTCAAGTGAGCCTCTTTTGTGTTTTAGGTCATTTGTTTAGACACGAAAGGCCCATCCCTAATTGAACTCCCTATGAGATATTGGCACTGAATATGAACATTTGCTATTTATTTAGAATTTTCCCTCTAGCCTTTCCCTAAGGGTCAGGGTGGTTAATGAGACAAACCTTCTGTCACTCCCACAAGACCCTGATGAATTAGATGCTTGTAATTACAATCATCATCATCATGTACTGACAAGTCAATTCTGACTTATGGTGACCCTTTTCAGGGGTTTACCATTCCCTTCTTCTGGGGACACCCTGGGGCTGTGCCACTTACCTTACAGCCTGGCCCTACTCACAGGAGGCACAGTGGGGAATCAAATGCCCAACCCCTAGCTCCATAACCAGATACCTAAATCACTGAGCTATGTTTGTTATAAGCCCCCAAAATCAACTCCCCCCAAAAAGGCAAAAAAAGAAGAGGGAAGGGTAATTTTAAAGATGGCAAACTGAGGCTGAAGAAAATTTACTTACATAATGTGACTTATTAAGCTGAAGTACTGTGTCATGACAAAATGAAACTAGAGCACATATAGTCATACCTGTAGATATATGCTTTATCCAGGATTCCTTCTAACCGGTCATTGAATTCAAAGAATGTGAGATGCTAAATGTAAATCAAGACAGAGAAGAAGCAACTTTATCTTTAATTACACAATGGTTCATCATTTTTGACACTGTCCATTTTCTGCACTACAGCAGAATGCTTCATTTCAAAATGATCATTTTGCTCAACTGGCAACAGTAAAACCCCAACAGCTTGACATTTTAAATATTCTTTTTCTAAGGTCTGGTTTATGGAGGATACCATTCTATTTAGCAGATCAGTGATTCAATGAATTATGATAACAGTGATATTTTACTCAGTCAACCAGTTTCTTCCCCATAGACAGTGTTAAGTTTCCTTATTTATTAATATTTTTGCATCTATGTTTTTTGCTTTATGACAGAGAGTTGTTAGTCTGGATGACAATATTTCAGTACAAATGGATATCAATGTCAATAAACACAAAAAATAAGTTAGAAAAATCAAAAAGTTGTGGTGGGGCCACTAGGGGACGTATCAAGCCGATTCTGTTTAAATTACATTGGCTACCAGTTGCTGCCTAGGCCCAATTCAAAGTGCTTGTTTTGACCTATAAACCCCTAAATGGCTTGGGCCCTGGATACCTGAAGGACCGCCTCCTTTCATATGAGCCTACCCGGCAGTTAAGATCTAGCCAGGGGGCCCTTTTGAAAGAGCCATCCCTCAAGGAGGTAAGAGGGATGGGTTGTAGACAAAGGGCCTTTTCGGCAGCTGCCCCCAGACTATGGAATGCCCTCCCGACTGACTATGGAACACACTCCAGAGGGAGATTCGTCTGGCATTGACACTGATGACATTTTGGCACCAGGTCAAAACCTTCCTGTTCCAAAAGGCTTTTAACTGAAATAATATCAACTGTGGGTCCTGATGGCAATTTTTAGAGTATATATTTTAATTGTATTTTAATTGTTTTATCTTTTTTATTATATTTTAATTTTTGTAAGCCGCCCAGAGACCTTTGGGTAGAGTGGGCAGCATATAAGTTAAATAAATAAATAAATAAATTTTCAAAGTAAGATTTGTTTGTATTCTCGACAGTTTTCACAGCCTTCATCCGATGGTTGTTGTACATTTTCTGGGCTGTTTGGCTGTGTTTTGGAGGTTTTTCTTCCTAATGTTTCACTCTGTGGCCGGCACCTTCAGAGGACAGGAGTTGGACAAAGTTCTAACTCCTGTCCTCTGAAGATGCCAGCCACAGAGACTGGTGAAACGTTAGGAAGAAAAACCTCCAGAACACAGTCAAACCGCCTGAAAAACCGACAATAACCATAAGATTTGTGTGGCGATCCCCTCTGAAGCCTCTATTCCCCAGGCCTTCACGAGGTCTCGCTCTTCTTCCTTCTTCGCTGCCACCAGGTGTTACTGCTTTAATACCAATCAAGGAGACATGTGTACTTTCAAAACTTAAGTCATTTATTTGATCAGGGAAGTTAACATCTGATTAATATTCAATTGGTAAATCACAGGTTGCTAATCACTTGTATTTGCATCAGTTCTACTTTGACTTTAAATCTCTAATAACTCTCTGTACCATTCAGCGTTCTTACAGAGCTCTACCTCACCCTAAGTTCACTTTTAAGTTTCACACTGTCTCTCACTCACAGAATCTCTCTCCATACCCTGTACATCAGCGTTTATATTCAGCCCCCTCCCCCCTTGGCTCCACCTTCCATCCTCTCATTGGCTCCTACTCCACTGTTCAGCTGTGATGGACAGGTGAGGGCAGGGCTGTTCGTTACAATTTGTTTGATTGTTTTTGTAGCAAAATAACTTAAACACCCAGCTTTTCTTTATGTATTTGGAGTAGAGATGGGGATCTTTATTTTCAACCAATATAGCCGATTTGTCAAATATTCGTCGATACCGTATTCATAAAAATATGAATCTAGATGAATATGGCTGGATAAATATTTCCATGGTTTTATTCATCGATCCATTAATATTTGTATATATTCGTTACCTTTTGGGGGTCTCTCTGAGCTTGTTGGTCCCAATTAGAAGCTTTGGTGAATCAGATCATGGATTGGCATGTCCGGCAGCCAATAGTGCTGCCAAAAGGTGCCGAGAGGCTGTATATAAGCTTCCCCCCCCTCCAGGCATTGCACACTTCAGTTCATGCTCTCTGGAGTGAGAACAGCTGCTGCTGCTGGCTTGCTGTTGCTCTGGTGGTTTGGTTTCACTTTTTGTGGCAGCAAAGCAAACAAACACATCACTTATATTTTCATTTATATTTTTCTTCTTCAAAACTATAATTCATAATCATAATAATCATCAACTGTACTGGGAATTTGGGAAGGGATTTTCAGGTAGCTTAGGCTACTTGGAAGGACTTTTTTCAAACTTTTTTTTCTGGAGGCTTGTGTTGTATGTGTCGTCTTCAGGCAAGTGGAGTCCTGCATCTGAGGCAGAGTGGGTGGGGGAATTTGTTGGTGTGACTTTGTGTGTGTTTAGCTTGGCAGGACTACATTACAGTCAACCCTCGACTTACAAATGGCCCTACATACAGACTTTTCGATTTACGAACAGCTCCGTTGGCAAAAATTGGCATCGATCTGCGAACGGAGCTCGGCCTACGAATGAGGTTGAGGCTCCATTCGCAACTCAGTGCCATTTTTTGCCAACGGAGCCGTTCGTAAATGGCTCCCTGCAAAAAGCCAGGGAGAAAGGGCTGGAAATTTCCCACTCTTTCTCCCTGCCTTTTTGCCTTCAGAGCTCTCAAAGGGCTTCCTCCGATGTCGGGGGGGAGGTAAGCCCTTTGAGAGCTCCGAAAGTGCTGATCGCACCAGTGGGGACCCCCAGGGAGGTCTCCCAGGGCTTGCCCACCACCATGGGAGACCTCCCTGGGGGTCCCCACTGCCGCGATCAGCACCTTCAGAGCTCTCAAAGGGCTTCCTCCGATGTCGGGGGGGAGGTAAGCCCTTTGAGAGCTCCGAAAGTGCTGATCGCACCAGTGGGGACCCCCAGGGAGGTCTCCCAGGGCTTGCCCACCACCATGGGAGACCTCCCTGGGGGTCCCCACTGCCGCGATCAGCACCTTCAGAGCTCTCAAAGGGCTTCCTCCGATGTCGGGGGGGAGGTAAGCCCTTTGAGAGCTCCGAAAGTGCTGATCGCACCAGTGGGGACCCCCAGGGAGGTCTCCCAGGGCTTGCCCACCACCATGGGAGACCTCCCTGGGGGTCCCCACTGCCGCGATCAGCACCTTCAGAGCTCTCAAAGGGCTTCCTCCGATGTCGGGGGGGAGGTAAGCCCTTTGAGAGCTCCGAAAGTGCTGATCGCACCAGTGGGGACCCCCAGGGAGGTCTCCCAGGGCTTGCCCACCACCATGGGAGACCTCCCTGGGGGTCCCCACTGCCGCGATCAGCACCTTCAGAGCTCTCAAAGGGCTTCCTCCGATGTCGGGGGGGAGGTAAGCCCTTTGAGAGCTCCGAAAGTGCTGATCGCACCAGTGGGGACCCCCAGGGAGGTCTCCCAGGGCTTGCCCACCACCATGGGAGACCTCCCTGGGGGTCCCCACTGCCGCGATCAGCACCTTCAGAGCTCTCAAAGGGCTTCCTCCGATGTCGGGGGGGAGGTAAGCCCTTTGAGAGCTCTGAAGGCAAAAAGGCAGGGAGAAAGGGTAGGAAATTGGAATTTCCAGCGCTTTCCCCCTGATTTTTTGCCTTTTGAAATGCTGGAATGGATTAACTCTGTTCCCCTGCATTTCAATGGGAAATGGTACTTCGACTTATGAACTTTTCGACATATGAATGTCGTTCCAACACGGATTAAATTCATAAGTCGAGGTACCATTGTATTCAATCAGTTTTCAAAAGTTTACTTTTGGACTTGAGAGGCACAGTGGGTGGGTGGGTGGTGTAGCTGGATCAATCATTTTTCTCCTTTTCCCTAAAATGAAATTGGTGTGACTTGTCTGTCCGTGCATGTCTCTGATTGAGACTTAGCTGGCAGGGCTTTTCTTTTTGGATTTTTTTGGCTTTTCATTCAGACACAGTGGGTTGGGGGTATTTTTACTAATTACATTATACTGAGGGGGGGCTTTGTTTAGGTAGGGAGGTCACATATTAGTAAAAGAATTAGTCCACCACTCCATCATTCAAAATTAGATGATGATGATGATGACGACAATGATGATGATGATGAGGTTTGGTAGGTAGGCAGTAGAAAATGAAGGGAATTCTTCACAGCCAATCCAGGGGGAAGATGGCTATAAAATTACGTAGGCTAGGCAGTGGCAGCATGTTCACCCTGAGTAACTGCCATTAGTAGCACCTTGCAGTCGGACCCTATTCTCCTGCTGTTGCTGCTGCTTTGACAACCTCAGTTGCCTCCTGGGGACAAACCTAAGTAACTTTGCAGGCAAATGTGATGTTGCAGAAGAAGAAGACCAGAGTCTCTTGTGGCTGCCTTTTGCCTCAGTGCCCTGATGGGGTCAAAAAGTCTGCTTTCTGGATGCAAACTTCCTCAGTGCCTGATGGGGCAAAAAGTCAGCGATGTTGCTGGCCATTTGAACAATTTCCGAATCCTGCAGCTCATTCCACTTGGGCTATATTCCAAAAAATCTCTCTGCTCTGCCCCACCCAAAGTCTGTCTGGGAATGGCCTCATCGCCCCATCGCCCGACTTCAGACTGCAGAGCTCAACAGCGTTAGAGCTTTAAAGTGCAGATGAATCAACGGATCGATTCATTGAAGAGTATTCGTATATTCGTATTCGATCTGTTAATCTTGACAAATAACGGATCAAAACGAATCACCATTTTTAAAATTTGTCCCCATCTCTAATTTGGAGATCTGCCCCCTACTACCATTCCTGTATGAGAGCCACAATACATATTTGAAAGCCGTGATTTCTGTCCCAAGAATCAGGGCAAAATAGGTAATCTCCTCTTACCTTCACCATCTTGTTTGCTCTGAATATTGCATTATATCCAAACACAACATATAAGACGTCAAATGGCATTACTGATAACATGTCAAGCTGTTGAAGAAAACAGTTCAGTTAAAAGGTTTGATTAATACTCATGTGCTTTAAAACTGTGCAGACTTGATTCTTCCAGTTTGTGAGAGGGAAGACACCAATGTACATCAAATGATGGTTGCAATTGTCTGTACATCCACTTCAACACAAAGTACCTATGGAAATTATAGCGAATAAATGTACAATGATTTTGCCATGGTTGCCCATTTTTGCAACAGGGTGTCTCTAGGTGCTGAGATTCACTTTTGTGTAAATGACAAGAATATTTAGAGTATTTCTTATATCCTTAGACAAAAAACTCCAGCTGATCTGCCCCAGAGTAAAAGCTATGGCCAGCATGAGCTAAGATGTCTTTGTAGCTCCAAACCAACAATCTATTCAGATCACTTTCCATGTTAAAATTTTCATTCTGCAGAATAATTCCTTTTGATCAACCTAAAATGCAGAGAGGGCTTTAAGAGTACAGGAGATGGTCAAACACAGTTGCCATTTTAATAGTTCATGACAAGTTATTAGAGGCAGCACACAGATTAAGTGGGGGCACCTCATCACAAATGTTGGGGAGGATATGCTCTAACCACAACTTGTAGATGTAAGCCAAAATGAAATGTGTCTTGCTGTGATGAGAAACCCCACCTCTGCTAACAAGTTACTATTTGTTAACCTGTCACAACCTACAATCAAAACTCTTGTCTGTTGCTGATATATAGACTCTGGCTTATTTAAACCATGCAGAACGTGACACCCAAGGCCACAACTATGGCTTGTCCCTAACTTAATTTTTCCAGATGTGAAGTGGAACTGACATAAGGGAGGGAAAAAGACACTTGTTTCATCAGCAATAAACAGTGGTTAATACAAAATATGGCTTTCTGCAAGGATACCCTATGAAGTAGTTAAACTGCCTCTGCTCATGATTTGAGTTTGATCTCAGTGCATCCCACGTAGCTGACTCAAGGTTGACTCAGCGTTCCAACCTTCCGTGAGCAGTAAACTGAGTACTCAGCTCACGGGGGGGGGTGGGGTTGGAGGTTGCCAGCAGGAGGAGCGGGGATGTGTAGCCTGCATAATTAAATTTGGGAGGTTGCCAGCAGGAGGAGGGGGGATGTGTAGCCTGCATAATTAAATTGTAAACTGCCCAGACAGTGTTTTAGGTACTATGGGGCAATATATAAGCAGCATCATTAGGCCTGTCAGAAAGAATCACGAAACAACCAGCAAAGATGCTTCTGAATAGGTGACTGCAGTAAAAGAGTCAGGATTAGAGATGGTGTTATTCGTATACAAATACAAATACCCTCGCACAGGTGGACATAACGAGGGTCCAGACTCCTGGGGCTGGACCGTCCACTCACCCATCCACTGCCAGCTCCACACTCCCTTCCAATTGCTCCAGAGCTCACGTTCAACTATCCACTCCTGGCAGAAGGAGGGAAAATGAGCCTCCCTGCCAGGCTGATGAGTGGCTAGTTAACCACAAGCTCCAAAGTGATTGGAAGAGAGTGCAGAGCCGGCAGCAGCACCAGATGGGTGAGTGGATGGTCCAGCCCCATGGGGCCAGACCCTCATTATGTCCACCTGTGTGAGGATATTCGTATACAAATACGGATATCCCTATCTCTAGTCAGGATTTAGCTCCTTACTGCTCCAGCAAGGTACAGGCCTAGGACAGATCTGTCATTTCCATAATGAGATGGGATCCTAGAATGAAAGATTGATGCTTGATCCTGTGTAAAATCTTAAAGTAAATCACTGACATCTGAATGTTGTTTGTGACCCATTAAGTGACTGCCATATTGAAGAAACTACGTAAATACAAAGAACAACAACAGTTATAGGATAGTCCTGCCCAAAGAGCCATATGGTTGGAACAACTGTTTTGTGTTTTACTAAGCATCCTTAACACAAATCTGTCATCACTTACCCGAAATTTTAATGAATTCCGGTAGAATTTCTTCATTTCCACTTTATCTGTCTGCAGTTAGTAACAGAGAAACAAAGACATTTAGCTACATTCTTGCCAATAATATATTGATAATAACTTTATCTTCCTAGCCACTGAAGTAAAATCTGTTATGCTACACTTCATAGCAGCCCATGCATCCCCAGAAAACCTCTGTTGAAAAATAATGGAAGTGACATTGCAGAGGCACACTGCAAAGAGGAAATGGTAGATTAAAATGAAATGTGCCACCAAGAAACCAGTCCTCCTGTCAGGTGATCCAAGAGAGATTTATTCTAAATGTGATATTATGTTTCCTTGTGTTATTTGAGTAACTGCTGGTTTTTGTCTTGATCCTTTGTGAAGTATTTTGCTTTGACAACTTGCTTAAAGATTCTAATTTCCTGACAGAGCAAGATGGCACTCAACTCCCTCTTGCTCCCTTCTGTAGTTTAAAAAGCACGGGAATCAGCTAGCTATGCGAATTATACCAAAAGCAACTTAGAACACAGGAAAATGAAGCCAATATTATGTGATGCCAACATTGTTACCAAAATATTCCATAGTTAGTCAGATCAGTAGTCAAACCAAGATGGTACTGTCTACCCTGAGAAGCTGCATCTCTCTGCAGTTTCAGACTGGGCTTTCCCTCCAGAATTGCTTGGGACTGAATAGAAGATCATCCACATGGACAGCATGTGTTCTGTCCTTTATAGTGTACCTGGGAGAATTCAAGGTACTGAACTTGGAAAGAGATGCACAGTTCTCACACTGATTAAGTAGGATCAGAAAACAGCTTTCTATGAAGTAAATCGTATGAAACATGACTGAGAAGCTATGTAATAGATGCACAAGCTTTTCAGAATGTTTGTGAGGAGAATTAAAATTTCATGACTCTGGCAAGGAAATCCCATCTTCCCACATCTATAAATGAACTTTTTAAATTGTCAGAGTGAAGGTTAAAGGAGGGAGGTATTGTTTAACTGTAATTTTTATTCATTAACAGAATTGTTGCAATTTTTTTAAAGGAACAAATATCAACACCCACACTTGAGCATTTACTCTAGAGAGGAAGCATAATTTTACACATGTGAATAAACAGGTCTTTGGGAGCTGGATGGCTGTGCTCTCATTAGCATTCAAACTCTCAACTTTTCCCCTCTAAAAAAATTATCAGATGTTTATTTTTAAATGGCTCTCTCTGGAAAATGCTGCTGCTTCCTTCTCCCAAAGGAAGTTAAACCACAGTCTGAGAAGAAATTACTGTATCTTCATATGTCTACCATTTGGCAGCACCAAAGGCTTAACTGTAGGCATCCTGATTCATTCAGAAAGAACTCCATGCACATTTGCTACCACTGTTTACACTGCTACAGAAAAAGAATACTCTTGTACAGAGGGTTGGCTTCTGTTTGCCCATCAGGAGGCCACAGGTCTCTCAAGGACTGCTGCCACATTTTTGGATTTTCACTTGAGGACTTTGTTTGAGGCCTAGTCAGATATGATGCTCTCTAAATTGAATTTGTTGCATCCAAGGGAAAACTGACATGGTTCTATTACTGTTAACAGAAGAATGCTTTTATGCTAACAGAACTGTGATGACTCTCTTGCAGATGGAAGAGTGATCCAGGGTTATAAGGCACCAATGGGTTCTTCTTTTGGCCCTCAGACAAGATGCAGGGCAGGGGCCACTGCTGAAATAAAAACCAAATTGCAAGGGCAAGGTAGGGAAGACCAAACACTTCAAGTAAACAGTCTTTCCAAAGGTAGTACCTAGAGTTGGATTAACCCTTGGTTTAAGCCTTCGAAAACTATCAATCACTTTGGTATTCAACTAACAGGAGGAAAGAAGAAGATGGATTTTGCTTTGAAAGCACTATACTTTGCTTTTTTAATGCTAGTAGGAAACTCATATTTGTCTGAGACAGAACACAGACAAGGCTACTAAACCACAGCCATGTTAGGAAGGAGTCCAACACAATGAGATGACTCAGTATTGCACTGTGCACCTCAACTTTTTGTATAGAATAGACTGTTGGAGGACAGACAGCACAGATAGCATGCATATTTTTTGTGATTTAATTGAGAATTAATAACTGGCCCAAAGAGACCCACTGAGCTTCATTTCTGAATGGAGACTCTCAAATGGCACATTGTGAGAGCTATAGTTCAGAAGAATCACTGATCAAGTGACTGTTCCGTGTCTTACATCCTCCCAGCTTTTACTTACGATTATATCTCCACCTTTCACAAATTGCACTCGGGGCTGAAATAACAACAGGTCACAGAGGTAGCAGATGTCACATATGAGGTCTACCATACTCCAGTATATCATGTTGCTTTCTGTGTGAACTGGGAATGTTATTCGGAATGGGATGAGCCAGCAGTTCCAGTTATAAGCAAGTGTAACGCAGAACAACCATCCTATATAGCGGCGATCTGGAAAAGAAAATATGCAAATCTATTTGAAATGTGGATTTGAAATTTGACAATGCACTGTTAGAATCCTGTTCCATAAATTACAGCTGGCCTAAGGGAAATGGTATCACTGGCAGGAAGGGATCCCTAGACCGTTACAGAAGCACCTGTATTCATAATGAAGTGTACCGCTCACCTGTGTACGCATCTATACTGTCTGGGAGGGCAAGTTTCTTCAGATAGTGTTTCATGGGCGGCCTCTTGAATTTGCAGCACAGCATGTCACAGTAATGTTCCTCCTCAGGTTTTACTTCTTCTGCTTTTTTCTCTTCCTCTTTTTTCTCTTCCTTCTTCTCTTCTTTCGGCGGAGGGGCTGGGGCTGTCTTTTTAGGTGCTAGGTAAAGTTTCCAAAAAGGAAGTGTTTAATGCATGTTTCTCAATCATATCAAGAGCACCAAAGCTACCGCAAATTCTGTACAAGGAAAGGCTTTCCTCCACGATCTTTATTACTAACTGCCAACAATATTTACACTGCTTCAGCAAAATTGTCAGAAAGAAAAAGATTAAAATTTATGATCCATATCTGCCTGTGTAATGATATCAGTGCTGTCTGTGAGAGATGCAATGTCTTCCCTATTCTCTCCAATAAGTAGCCTGCACAGAAACTGCTTTTTTAAACTAACAGCATTGATAATTGTAAACAACAGTGATCGGAGGGGGGCAGGGTTCACTATGAGCCTGGTCTGCCATTTCTGGGAATGTTTCATGCCAGCTTTCGGAATCCTGTACAAATTTACTTTGAAGTAAATCTTACTGAATTCTGACAGACCATATCTCCTCAGAAGTATGTAGGCTTATTTCTGTAACACAATCACCAAAGGAATAAAGACTATAGCAAAGCGTGCTGCTTATAGGTTGGAAATTCACATTCCTTCTGGAATTTGCTGTCTAGATAGTGTCGCTTTACAATACAGCCGACACCAGTTATATAATGTTTGTATATAATTGCTAATGTTAGGAGCATGTCAGACCAACAGGTCATCATCATCTGTGGATTCAAAATGCATTTATGGAAGTAAATCAGATTCACTTAAATTTCTACCATAATTTGCAAAATTTTTCTCACAAATGTGCATGCATGCATAAGTGTGTAAGAACACATGGACACAGCCTTCAGCTCAGCAACATTCAAATATACAGACACAGAACACAGACATGCATAGAGGGAGCCTTGGTCTCTCGCACTAACACACAGACTCCAACCATGGCCATGTAGAAAAAGACTATTTAAAATGCAAACATCTCTATTTGCTCCAGCTTCCACCACTCTGTGTTTTCAGATTTTACATGTATTATGTAGATATGTATAAATGTCTCTCTCTCTCTTTTTAACTCTAACATAAACATAAAATACATAAACCAAAATACAAGAATGGTCAACATTAAAGATTCTTTTAAAGGGTTGGGGTTTTGGAAAGAAATTTAGGGGGATAATAGACCAATTATATGCGGAGAATACTTCTACAGTAATTGTTAATCATGGGATAACAGAACAGATAGCTCTAGGCCGAGGTACCAGACAAGGTTGCCCTCTTTCTCCAGTTCTGTTTTGTTTGATTATTGAAATGCTAGCAAATGTAATAAGGAATGACGATTTAATTGAAGGTATGGGTGAAAATAATAAAATAAAGATTAATTAATTTGCTGATGATTCTCTATTTATGGTGAAAAACCCATTGGAAAGTATAGACAGAATTAAAATCCATTTGGAAAATTTTGGAAAAATAACTGGATTACATGTAAATTGGCAAACATCTGAAATAATGTTGTTTAACCATAATAAATTAGAAGAAAGGTTTGCTGATAAATATGATTTTAAGATATGTAAATCAGTTAAATATTTAGATATAGATTTAGTAAAAGATACTCAAAAATAAAGGAATATAATTATAATAAACTAAAATGAGGTATTAAAAAGAAATGTAATATAGTAATTAAAAACGTTCTTGGTCTGTAAGGATTGCACTGATAAAAACGAAAATTTTACCAAAAATTAATTTTTTATTTAGAATGTTACCAATACAGTTAACAGAGGATGATTTTAAATTTTGGCAAGTAATGATGAATAAATATTGTAATGAAGGGAAGAGTGCCAGAATAAACAAAAAGTATTGATATTAAACAAAAAAAAAGTGGTATAGGTACAGCATACAAAATATATATAAAAATATTATTTGGCTAATCAGTTGAGGTTTATTGGGGAAATTATATATAATCCAGAAAGGTTAATTTGGTGGAAAATGGAATCATCAGAATTACAGGTAGATACTGAAAAATATATATTTGGTATGATTAAGAAATACAAAATAAGTGAAATTAATAACCCATTTTTAAAGACAATGTTAAACAACTGGTATAAATATAGAAAGAATTTATGTCCATTTCACTCTCCATTAGGACTAGTGACTGAAATAGAGAATTTTCCTGTCAATATGAAAGTTTATGCAGAATTACTGAAAGAAAAAACTGATTAGATTAAAAGACTGGTTGAATAAAATGAGATCAAAAGATCAAATGAAACAAATCCTTCAGAATAAGAATATTTCATGGTTGAATTATATGCAGCTAGAAAGACAGACTAATGAATGGGTAACAAAATATAATAAAGGTAGAGAATATATGAAATATGAACAATTTCTATTATCATATAAAGATATTCAGATGACTGATTCCGTAAAGGCTGCAGTGAATAAAATTTATAAATTCCTGCTTGACTTAGAAGAAGAAGAAGAGTGTGAGTAAGAAGGACTGAAGTTAGTGTGGGAACAAGACTTAGGAAAAAGTTAAGTGAAAAGTGGAGGAAGATGTGGAATATGAGGGTTTTAAGATTCATGTCAGTAAGAGTAAGAGAATTTTTTTTTTCAAATTGGGCTTAAGATGGTATTTAACACCGACAAAATTGAATAAAATTAACACTAGTTATCTGAATGTCTGTTGGAAATGTGAGAAGGAAATTGGTACATACTTTCATATGTGGTGGGAATGTGAAAAAATAAAAAGATTTTGGAAACTAATCTTTAAAGAATTAAATGATATATGTGAAAAAGATATAGAATTTAATCCTGAGATTGCTCTGTTATCAATATTTGAGAATGTGGAATATGATAAGAGGACTAAAGAATTGACTACCAATTTATTAACAGCAGCTAGACTAATGCTAGCTAGCCATTGGAAATCAAAATCTGAATTTTGAATGGATGAATGGTACAATGAAATATGGAATATAGCTATAAATGATAAGCTAACTTGTAACTTAAAGGTTAAGAAAGGAGAGATGAAAAAGAATAATTTTTAATGATATATGGGGCAGATTTTTGGAATATGTGTTAGCAAGAGGAAAAGGGAAAGCTCCAAATCAAGAATCAATGCAGTTCTGGAGAAGAGGACAATAAAAGAAGAAGAAGAAGAATATAGATGGAGGAAGAAGAGGATTATTGCAAGAGGTCCCAACTATGGTGGTGGGGAACACAGTTAATGTATAAGCCTCTCAAGGTGATTTCACAAAGAAGCAGGCATATGTGTACGCCTTCCTATGAACAAATCCATGGAGGTCTAGGGGGCTGAAGCTAGTGGAGATGTTTATGTTGAGTGTGGAGGGATTACAGTGAATATGTTGGGCTGTGCTCACTTTTTCCTTTTTTGATGAGTGTACTGAGCATAATCAAAGGTGCACCTGAATATAAGGGTGACCAAGATTATTTTATGATTATTGTTAAGGTGGAGAATATCAATAGTGGCACAGGACTGAAAAAGAATTTGGAAGTATTTGTATTTCAAATATAAGGCTTCTACTTTTCAAAGCAAATGTATAAAATAGATATATTTCAATCATCTTACCCATCCTATTAAGTATATTTAGCTTCTACTGAAGAACTGATAACATTCTTAATGAACTGTAGAATAAGCTATACACGAAATCAGAACAAAAATAATTAAGCTCCCAATGTCATGTCATGTTATTTTATCTGTAAGAGTCTCTTTGAGTTTTACATGCAGGCAGACTCTGACTAACCAAATATATGTTTGGTGCAAATTAATGCAAATTGTTGTTGAAGTCTACTGCCTCAGTGATAAAAGACATTATTTGATACTGTCTATGGGCTTAGAAGTCACATTTTCTCTTATTTTCAAAACTGTGTTTTGAGGAAATGAAATTTTCGCTGATGGCGTTTATGTTGCTGGATTCCTACTGTCCCTGATCATCGTTCTGACGTATTAAAATGCAAGTGACATTATCATACAGACCCTGCATTACTATTATTGTCCTGTTATGTTTTTTCAGATATATAGCTTCCACTGCACAACTGATCACATGTTGCTCTGTCTGAACTGTTTAGCTCCTCCTTCCTGCTGTAATACCACCCATCTGTTTCCAGGTATTCCAAAATTAGAGCTCTGGGCATTGTATAATGTTGCTCTAATCACACCAGGGATGTTGGCAAGCCTTTGGTCCAAGTCCCAAGTCTGAGTCTTTGGTACCAAGTCCCAAGTCCTAAGTCCAAGACCCTATTGAAAACAAGCTTTATTCCCCAGGAAAAAAAGGGAAAGGGTGGTAGGTTCCGAGTCATGAGTCCCATCCAAGTCATTGAAAAAACATTGAGTTGAGTCTGAGCCAAGTCACCGGTGTAACTTAGGTCTGACTTGACAGCGGGCCCCACAACTCGAGTCCTATCCCTGAATCACACTGTGTGTTTTTAAGCTTAAATTCACTTTGAGGGAGTCAGGGAAAAGGAACACAATATTATCCATGGAAGTGAGAGGAAACCATGTTTTAGGAAAAAAAATCACAGCCGAGCTACCTATCAATGTGGGACAGAGATTCAAATATTTTATATAGTTATTGTTTTGAAAAAGGCGGATTCTGTCATTATGCAGAGCTTCAGGTGGAGGGGCACTGAGGTGGCAAGTGAACCACACTCTTCCTCCTCCTGTTGTTACCCCTACATAGCCCACATTTTTCTGGAGAGCAGTTACTTTGAGCATCTCTCCAGATGCTCTCCAGATGGTTGTTTTTAACCTGCATATGCTGCTGGAGCCATTGACAGCAGTAGTTGAAAGAGAGTTGGTTCCACCAGAGGCAACTCCCTGCCACAACCTTGAACATCTGAATCCAAGGAGAAAGTGACAAAAATGAACAGAAAAAACAACTTTCTGCTGAGCAGAAAGAGGGGACCACTACATAGGGGAAATTGAGGGAAAACTGTGTTTTCAGCAAGAAAGAAAAGAAAAGACCCCTCAGAATCTGCCTGTGGTGCTGCCACTTCTGTATCCACTACCTCCACCATCTCAGGAAATATTTGTAAAAGGAAAGAAGCTGGCCCTTGTTGCTGCCAGCTTCTGTTTCCCATTGTTGCCACTTCCTCTTTCTCCTCTTCCATCTTGCTCCTCTGGTGGCATGTGCATCTCCTTGCTAGTTGTATGTGGAGGAGGAGCTGTGTAATGTGGAAAGGAGGAAGGGAGAGAGGCAGGAGGAGAGAGGAAGAGGAGCTGTAAAAAGGAGGAAGGGAGAGAGGCAGGAGGAGAGAGGCTTGGCCTGAAGGGATGAGGATCATGCTTTGATTCCCAGTTTGGGGACAGAGGCCTCTCTGGAATCTCAAACTCCTTTTGATTCTACTGGTTCCTACTGCTCCCTTCTGATTCTAAAAGGAAACACAGCAACACAGAGGGCATCTTTGGTTCACTCAACAGCCAAGCAAGTTTTCTGGTTACAATTAAACATATTCATCTCTAATAAAGATGATACTACCATTTTTTTAAAAAACCCTTATGACGGACAGGCCAGAAACCACACCTGTCCATCACAATGGAACACTGATTCAGTAGCCAATGGTTGAGCAGGAGGGCGGAACCAAGGAATATAAGAAGAGAATGGAGGACAGTTATAATCAGTTAGGATTTCAGTTAGCCAGGAGTTAGGTGTTTCAGTTAGTGATGAGATAGGACAGTTAGTCAGCAGTTAAAGAAAGAGTTACGGTAGGTAGTTGGAAGAACTGTTATGAAGAGTTAGTACTAGGCGAAGAATTGAGAAAGAGAAAGATAGACAGGGATTATTGTAGGACAGTTAGTCAGCAGTTAGAGAAAGCGTTACGGTAGGTAGTTGGAAGAACTATTATGAAGAGTTAGTACTAGGAGAAGAATTGAGAAAGAGATACAGTGGACCCTCGACTTACAGACGGCTCGAAATGAATATCAAATACAATACCATCTATGATTTCCTTGATTCTTAAATATGTTAATCTGTTAATAAACCACATTATATTTGACACGATTGATTCTGTGATCCTAATTGGTAATTGAGGAAGTATTTCCTCTGGTGGCAGTGGAAGTGGAGACAAGAGAAACTGTTATGCCTGGAGGCAAATCTGTTTGTTAGGGAGAACATACAGAGGAGCTGAGGTGTGTGACATCCCTATATAAAATTTGGGCATTGCCAGATCTGAATTGTCAATAAATTTCACCCTTCTCCTGATGTAGCACTGGCAATCCTTCCCGTTCCACCTGACTTGCCTTCCTCAAGCGCACCAGCATCTGAAAGAGTTACCTTCATTAGTACCTGCATAAAGAGGGACAGTTTTTCCCTGGGCCAAAAAATACATTATGGATAACCCAGTGTTATGGCTGAAATCACATTCATGTTCAAGAAAAGTGATTGAGGCAGCCTTTGTCTTTGGCGAATGAGACCTGACAACAAGTAATGTGATTATGATCTGAAGACTAATCACAAAGTACGTAAGGTCAACTAATTTGCAAATTATGGAAGGAAAGAAAAGCTCCTGTTAATAGCTTTTCCCCCCACAAGTAAAACTTTTTTTCATTCTTGCACCACTACACACCACTTTCTTCCTCCTCCTATCTCCTTCCCCCACCAATTATGAATCCCCACAGACTGAGTTCCCAGTGATTCCTGGATCCTACCTTTTAATGCTACCTCTGAATTTGCTAGAACTAAAATGGCAAAAGAAGGTAAGTTGAGCAAATGACATACATGATCACAGTGTGAGGATCTCTCAACAAGTAGCAGCTGATTATTTTTAAATGCTTTAAACAAAGGTGAACAGGTGGGGTGCCCTTTCCATTAACTTACTGGCTGTTGGACTGGGTTCCGGTGATGAAAGGATCGGATCAGTCAGCTTTTCTTTGTAAATAGCTTGTCTTTCTTTCATTTTCCTGACAATATCTTTGAGCTGTTCTTGAGCAAATTCATTTATGGGTGTCCCTGGTCGTTTATCCTCTGTGCTGTTTTGGGAAGAGGAGAGGATAAGAGTTAAGATCTTTGAAGATGTATCATGGTAACTTCTTAAAATAAATTTGTCAAGCTAGTAAACAAGTAATTTTACTTTATTGAAAATACTGAAATAATTAGTAAATTAATTAAATAAACTAGTAAAGTAAGTAAGAACAAGCAATGATTGCAAGACAAACAAGACATAACAACAGCACCAACAACAAGTTGTCAGGTCAGTTCTGACTTATGTCTACTGTTTTCAGGGTTTTCCAGGTAGATAATGCTTGGAAATGATTTACGATTCCCTTCTTCTAGGGGCACCCTGGGATTGTGTAGCTTGCCCAAAGCCACACAGACTGACTCTATGACAGGAGGCACAGGGGCAATCAAACTCCCACCTAAACCACTGAGCTATCCAGCCAGCTAAGTAAGACATAGCTTGGAGAATTTACCTTTTGGGATCTGACTTGCAGAATCCTCCCACAGTGGTATGGCCATACTGGCTAAATCATTTTGGGAGTTGTAGTCCAACAAGTATCATTTATAAGATCTAAAATAACACATGTGGTTCCCTGCCTTAAATAGCTGAAGCCATTTTGTTATAAAAACAACAAATTTAGACCAGGACTGCACAACAGCTCACTAGCCATATCACATTGCGGCTTGCCAAGTAAATGTTGGAGACTAGTGTGGCACAATGGGAAGACTGTTAGATCATGATTAAAGACACCTGGGTTCAAATCCCACTCAGCCATGAAAACTTGCTGGAGGTTCACAGTGGCAAACCATTCTTTCAACAGCTCCCATCTGTTGGAAACCCAGTTAGGGTCGCCATACCCCAGAAGCCACTGGATGAAAAATAGCAACAACAGGTGAGTGACAAGCTCTCTGTTTAAGGGTCAAATTAAATGTTGTTAGGAGCACTCTCCCTACCACAAACAAAACATTCACTCTGGCTCTTCTGTACTTCCCCCAATATTTTTTTTCATGCTTGCCATTGGCCTTAAAAAGAAGGGTGTGTGTGTGTTGAATTTACGTGTGCACATGTGCAAGAACATTAAAATAAATGAAAACTAGGTCAGAATTTGGAAACATCCTTGAAAAGATGATACATTCCAGCCACTGATCATACTGACTGGAGGACTGTGGGGGATGTAGTCCAAGGAAGCTCTGTAAAACTCTAATTCTGACACTGTTAGAATAATGGAGAATGTGTCAGATAAGGTAAAATGCTGCCCTGTTTGTTGCAGAGTTTCATTTCTTTGGAATTATCAGATTAGTGTTTGAGTTATAACATGTGCTGAAATTGAGTCAGTGTGTTAAATGCTGCTGGGTCGGCGCTGACACTGCTGTCCCAGAACCACCAGTCACTCGTAACGTGAAAGGAAACCCGCTGGGATGTAACCAAAATAAGGCTGAGACCAGCTGCAGAAGAAAGCCTGCACTGAATCTGAATATTCTGAAGAAAACCTAGAGAACATGTTTGAAGCAAAAATGGGTGACTTATAAACATATGATAGATTGCCTTTAGTCTGTTTGAATAACCAAATATTTAGAATGTGGGAGGGAGGGAAGAGCCCCAAAAACAAGCACAAAGGGAGAAACTAAGGGAATGGTCAGCTAGACAGACAGACAGACAGAAAGCAAGTAAGTAAGTTGACTGGTATTCTGCTATGTCTAAGGAAAAACAGGCACCTCTACAATGATTGCTGGAGTAAATGCTCTCAGATTCATCATTTCAAGAATGCTATTTGTGTTAAAAGGCTCGACAGACAGACAGACAGACAGACAGACAGACAGACAGATAGATAAAACTTGATTATGGTCAAAGACCAGTAATAAAACATCGAAATATCTAAATATACAAAGTATACAAAAATATTGGGATCAAATGCAAATACTCGGTTCTGAACAACAACAGCATCAAAACATCTCCCCTAAAGCAAACCATGCTCTAACTACAGAGGCTCATCCGCTTTTAGGATCCTTTTTCTAATGCCCATTGCAACAGTAAGAAATTTGGCAACCCTATGTGTAAGAATGGGATTGGACTCAGACAGCAGCACATGCATTGTTGTTCTGTACAACTGGGAAATTGACCAATCAGAGGGGAAACAAGTTATTCACGCACATCCTTGTAAAATGTGCACCACACCAGGATGTGTTCAATTGTTTCTACCTGCTCCATTCCACATGGAGTTTATTAGTTACTATAGTTTATTAGACCTGCTTGTTTTCCCCACAGATTGCTTAGATCACTCTTGATTTCGCTACCCACTCTTATAGGCCTTACTTAAAAGAGATAGATGTCCATAGTTCCCACGAGGAAGGAGTCTGACCACAAAACATGTTCTCTCTCTCTCTCTCTCTCTCAGGTTAAGAGCATGCAGGTAGAGGAACATATAAATGTAAAAAGAGCCCAACTGGATTAGGCCAAGTAGGTTCATCTAGCAGTCTGTCCCTACAGCAGCCTGCTAATTGCCTCTGGGAAGCCCACAAGCAGAACATGATGCATCTGAATTTTTTCATGTTTTGGCTCATATGGGGGGACAGTATGAAGACAGTGGCCTCTCTCTCTTCAAACCGTTGCTTTCATGTGATAATGGAACAGGTGAGGCTAATGTGCCCCCTCCTCATGTATGTTCTTTGCATTATCTGAGAATGCCTAAATAAGGCTGTAGGAATAATGATAATACTCATGATGTGCAGTCAAGTCAATTGACCTATGTTTCTCCTCCCAGAAAAGTTATAAGTATAAATAATCAGAAGTGGTTTGCCAGTTCCTCCTTCCGGTGGTGCTTTGCAGCTTGCCCAACCAGAAGAAGGAAGTGACAAGTGGTAGGGCATGTATCATTGCCAGCCACATATGCTCTGGTGACCTTATCTGGCTTCTCTTGGAGGCACAGTAGGGTTCTGAACTCCTGGACTCAGATTCCACAGCCAGATCCTCCAGCCCACTGAACTAAGCCAGCGACAGGCACACAACATGGTGATACTGTGCTCATTCTCCCATCCTCTTTTAAAACATCACAAAACTAATGGGGCATCTTGAAACTTGTTTCATGGTCCAGCAACAAGCTGAATTTAGATGGATGTGGCTTTCATTTTGCTAGGTGATTCCTCTGTGCTATAATTAATGTAAACACAGTGATTAATAGTGTAATTAATGTGCTGGTTTAGTCACTCCTATTATGTGCCTAAACAATATGAAGGATAGGGAAATTGCAGACAGGCTGAAGTAAACCATCCATCACCATTTTGGCTATTGCATTATTTGTTTCAAGCCTGTTCTCTAATCAAAAGGAATCTTCTAACGAAGCCCTCTTTAACCTTTATGACTCTCCAGAGTGAATATTTGTTTGTTTGTTTCATTTCTATGCAATCTTTCTCCCAGTGAAGTCCTGTCAGCTGCTTGATAAAATCTATCTGGCATAGGCTGCAACTGGCAATGATTTATCTAGCCTGGTAGCCTACATTCTGTGGTTTATTCAGATCTGCTGTATTTTACAGAATGAACAAGAGCCTTACATTCTATTTTACTAATAATCCTTTCCTAGAATTAAATAGTTAATTGTTATGCAGGGGGTTAAATGACAGCAACTTAATCCATGCTAGGTCATAGAGTATCACTATGTAGAGCCAGGTAGATTCCTATTGGTTACTAATGTCAACTGAGCCCTGTGTTGTTGATTGGAGCAATACAATAACTCTTCAGTTACTTACAGGGATCAGGATGCTATCCAATATGTAATAGAAGCGAGGTCAGATATTTTCCTCAACCAGGTTGTCATGAAAACACATAGGAATGAAATTCCTGGCCAAGAGGTCAAATTTGTTGATAGACTTAGCATGTATTTAGAAGTATTCTTTCAAGTCAGGGAAAATATAAGTTTTTCATTTTCCTCACCTCTGTACCTTGTTTTATAGCATGCTTTGGTTCATGATTGGTCACTGGAAGGTAAACACAGGTATGATTTGCATGGCTGATTGATAAGGAATGCATCTCTGAGGAAATTCCATTGTCAGAGGGAAAATATGTTAAGACAGAGAAATTAACTACTTCCTGATTTGTTTGATCCAAAATGTAAAGTAGAAAAGCTCTATCTAGTGCTTTAGCCACAACTCCTTGATGTATCCAGCTACTTCATATGATTTACTACTACTATCATATCAGTGAAAGAGGGTGACACAAATTTAATGGGAGCAATGAATCTTTGCTAGGTAGCCTCAACTTTACAGGAGCTATTGAAGGTGCTGAACCCTATTCCCAAAATCACTTCAGTGCCTTCCTTAGCTGCTATATAGTTTGGCCTGAAGACCAGAGTGGATCCACCACATCCTTGGACTCAAAGTTACTATCTTCCCTGGTGTCACAGAGTAAAGTGCATGGCTCCTACTGCTGATGTCTCAGTTTTCAGACTCCTGATATATTAGAAACAAAATCAAATGATACTAACTCAAAATATTATTTTAGGGTATTATTTTACTCAGCTGTATCAAAACCAACAGGGTTTCCAATACTACAAAGGTTAGCTGATTGATTGTGGCATAAGTTTTTATAGGCTAGAGACCATGCTTTTCATCTGATACATATATCAGAAAAGCAAAAAGGGCTTTCACATGCATACAGATACACAGAAACCATGAAGTTGGTGGCATTTCCATATTTACTACAAACAGTAGCATGATATGGCCACAAAATGTCAGCCATAATGTCCACTTTATATGCCAGCACATCTTCTAATGTGATCATAAACACCATTAATTGCAGACAATGTATTTCTGCAATTTACATATATTACATATTTATTTATTTATTTTATTTATTCAGACAATGTCTTTCTGCAATTTACATATATTACACAAGTTATTCATGTGAGAAAAACAAAGGAATACATATCAGAATGGTAACAGAGCTCAATGGGTAATTATTTCAGTATTGGGGGGTTGTTTCTATGCTTCTACTGAAAAACAAGTAAGCAGAAATGTTAACTCTGGTGTGAATTAGAAT